AGCCCACACTCGCTGCGAAACGACTTTCGCGACCTGCGAAACACCCATTCCAGCACTATTCCATGCTCAAACTCGCTGCGAACTCCGTTTTGAGACCTGCGAACTGCAGAATTTCATTAAATGTGTGTGTTTCTAGTGTGTGTTTGTGGTGTAGCTATAAATAGACATTGTGCTTTGTCTTTTTGGACACAACCCTCATTTCCCAACTTTTTAAGTTGGGAAAATCCTCTCTATTTTTTTTTTTCCTTTTTTATATTTTGGCTTGGAGCTTATGAATCAAGTTTTCAGGCGAATTTCCGGCGACATTATTTCGAGTAAAGTTTCGAGCTTTTGACTCTGTTTTTTCTTCCAAATGCGTGTAAGAGTGGGTACTTAGTCTTAAGCCTCATTACTTTGTATATCTTTGTTTGCTTTCGTGAAAATTGATATTGTGCTTGTGTTGGTAGGAGGAAAAGATTGAATCTTTGGATCGAGAATGCTTGACTAAGTGTGATTAGGAGTTAAATGCTTGCTCGTTTTGTGCTAGAGCTTGGTTTAGCTTCATAGGGTTTTAGCTAGCATGGCAATGTTCGGTTATTTGCGTGTGATTGATCATGGAGACTCCGGCAAACCAAAATCTCTTTGTCCCCCTTGATCTCTTTCATCTTCTTGCGTGCTTAGTTAATTGCTTTCAATTGCTCTCATTTTGTAGATTAATCTAGTTTAAATTCAAACCAAAAATTGCGAGTAGAATGTTTAGGACTTTCTCTCGGTTTGCTTTTGGTAGCGGTCGGCGAGTACCCTTTCTTGTCCGGTGGGTTGTGGCTGGTTCAATTAGTGCGGGTGGGGCGGCTGGGCTGGGAACTGCCTAATCCCCGGCTCTGTGTCTGGAGTTTGGGTTGCTGTCCTGGCTTCCGATGTTTGTCGGGTCGGGGAGGTGGGTTGTTCCTGCGGTAGGAGTGAGGGTCGGCTTCTGGATTCGTTTCGGGGCTTGGGTCTCCGGGTTCGCTAGGCCTTCGGCAGTGGTGAGCGGGGCTTCTCTGCTTTGGACTTCTCCGGCAGTCGGCTTTGTTCGTTGTCAATCTTGGATGTGTCTGCTGAGGGGAGGATGTTTTTTTAGTCGTAGGTTGGTTTTTGTGTTTTTAGTGTTTTCTGGTTAGGTTGTGTTGTTGCCTGTTGTTTTCGGTTTGGGCCGTTGGCCTCAGTGAACCCGAGTGTCACCTTTATTATCCCCTTGGGATCCGACACTCGAGTATTACCGTGTTGCGGTCCTTTTAGTTGTTTTGTTGGTTTAGTTGTTTTAGTTGGTCTCGTTGGTTAGTTTAGTGAGTTTTATTCTAGTGTTTGCTAGCCGGGATTCTAGGCGGTCTTCGGACCTGTCCTCCCACTTTTTCAGCTGTTGGCTGCTGTGTATTCAGCCGTTGGCTGCTGTGTATTCGCACATTTGTGCATTTTGATTTATAATATTATCTATCGTTTTGGAAAAAAAAAAAAAGAGAGGTCAATAGAGTGTAAAATATGAACTCCTCCGTGCATTGCACGGGATACTCACTAGTATAAAATAAATAAATTATATTTATCTTTACAATACTAAAAAAATATTACAATTAATTAAATAATAAAATTATTTTTTAATTAATATTTTCACGTTTAATATAGTCATACTAGTACAACACCCGTGTATTAAACGTGTCTAAATTTTTTTCTTAAAATTTTAAATTAATGAAAAAAAAAATGCTTGAAAATTAAATAGTTCTTATAAAAACATATATATAATTTTATACTACCTCCTATTTTTAATATATATCGTTTTGAGAAGATTCACATTAATTAAGAATATTTTTTTGTCAATAATAATCTTATTTAATGAAGATAGAGATGAATGTTTTGAGAAAAAAGTAAAGAGTGAATATGAAAAGATGTAATGTATATTTATTAGTTAAATGAGGGTAATAATGGAAAAATATGTACAAAATATCTAAAACGACATTTATTTAGTTAATAATTGATAAAGCTAGAATGACATTTAAAAAAAAATAGGAGGGAGTATATTTTATTATGACACTTGTTACTTGTGCAACTTACTCAGTTACTCGAACTCATGACCTATTGGCATAGGTGAAACGTCTTACCACTCAAACTGCGCTTTGTTGTCGGGTTCTGTACTAATTTTAAATAAACATGTTCTATGTGATTTTTGATCAAAATTCAGATAACATTGAAATTTTTAAAATATAAATACTTATAAATATCTCTTACCCGTGCATCGCACGAGATTCGTACTAGTATGTAATAAGAATTATTATTTATAAAAACAGTAGTAAAAAATTTAGGAAAATTTTATGCATATCATTTTTGGAATTTTTTTAAATATATGCATACATATACACGTTTTAAAATAAGATCAAATAAGATATGATCAAAACAAATTACTTAAATAAGTTTATTAATATCTGCAATATTTTCATTCATATTTATTACAATAAATTACAAGATTATTTTTTTGTGATTCATGTTGATAATATTTTGATCAAGATAAATAGTATTTTATTAATACTTGTAATACTTTCATTGATGTACATTATAATAATTACATGATTGGTTTTTATGATCCATGTTGAAAATATTTTGGTCAATATAAATATTACACCATATTTTAAGTGACAACCACAATATTGGTTTTTTTTTTCATGAAAAATATTCACTTTTTATCCAAAAATATTTATCGAAAATCGTAACAGGTTAGGTACAATATTTTTTTTTTCCAAGTAATCAGGCAAAATCAAGTTGGTGAATTAATATTTGCGAATATATTCTTTCTTAAGCTTTATTTCGTTAAATATAACAAGAATATTGTTCTTTAAATTAATATAATTTACCATTTAAAAGATAATGACCAGATATCTTAAATATTTCTATTAATGGTAAAAAATTAAAATTGAAATATATTAACTATTTTGAAGTATTTATTTGTATATTATTGGCATCCATTATTTTTTTTTATTTTATTTATTTCTATAATTAAATTTTTTATATAATATATTTTCATTGTAGAGTATACTAAATAAACTATATATCCTTATAGTGCGAATTACAAAAATCTTGATCATGCAAGTGATTGAATTTTTTGTATTTCAGAGTTATACACTATTTAATTTAAATTTATTTGCATATTTTAAATTGGTTACATAAATATATAATACTAACGTGCATTAAATATTTTTTTATTGCAAATAAAAAGAAAAGTAAGACGTACAACTTCTATAACTTTATAAATAATAATGACATTATGTAACAACAAAGTTTATAATAAAATAATAATTAAGTATTATATGGTGAACAAGAATAATTAAATTGTTATTTTCTCTTATATCAAGGAATAAATATATTTATACTAAAATCAAATGTATATGTTAGCGTAAATGTGTTAGTGAGATAATATATTAATTATTTTACAACTTGGCCCTAACATGCTCATATTTAATGTTTTGACTAAAAAACATGCTGATTAAAAGAGGTGCAAAATAGATTAACCTTATTGTTTATTACACTTAACGCTTATTAAAAGATGTGAAAAATTTATGATAGCCTCATTGCTTTATATACTTAAACGGACAAAGTCTGTGAAAATAACTCATTTATTATTTTTGTCTCGTGCATCGCACGGGGTACATATTAGTATGAGAGAGCCTATTAATAAAAAATAGTAACAAAAAAAAAAATCCGCCAAAATTAATTGCATGTTACTTTGGGAAATTATTTGAATTTAATCTCAATGGTGGGTTTATTCATGCAATTTTATCTTACCTTACATATAATCATATTTCTAATAAACATTAAATTTGCTTATATAAATTTAAATTAATTACATTAATAAATAATATTATTATAAATATTTATCATTAGATAAAAAAAAAAACAAAATTACTTCTATATGTGTTATTCATGACATTATGCGATAATAAATTTTTAAAAAATAATATTTGAGTATTATGATGAACCAAAGTATGTAATATTATTATTTTTTTATGTATTAAAAAATAAATATATATGTTAAAATATTATTCATATTAATATAAATGAGTCAACGGACTAATACAATGTTAAAATAAAGTTTTGAAAAAATGTTCTAAAATAAGAAACTCTGTGCACCGCACGAGATTCTCACTAGTATTAACTAAACCGAGTAACCAAGGTGATTGAGAATGAGAGAAAATATGACTAGGGAAATAGTAGCAATTTGCAACTCTAACCAGGGATGATTGGCTATATTTTTTTATTTTTTTTATTTTTTATTTTTTGGTTTGGTTTAGTTAATTTGTAAAAAGATAGTATGGTTAGTTGTTAATTTATATATTAAAATAATATCAAAATAAAATAATTAAAGTTGATTTGATGTAAAAAGTAAGAGAGAGAAGTTGAAATCATAGTTAGTTAAAATTATGTGAGTTGATAAATAATTAATAAATGATAATGTGTTTTGTAAGAATGATTGATATTATTTAATTATAGTAATATTGATGATACTGGGGTTTAACTACCCTTGAGTTAAAAAAAAAATGTTGATTTAAAATTGACAATAATGCTAAAGAGCCAACAGTTGGCTCCGTTACGGAGCCAACAACCAATGAGACAACTCCAGGTGGGGCTGACCCACAATACTTTGATGTGGGACAACCCCACATGGAGTTATCCAATTGATTGTTGGCTCCATAACGAAGTCAACTGTTGGCTCCTTAACATTATTGATTGGATTTTTTTTGAGATAGTTTTGTATTCAAGCATCCTTGATGCATCTCTCACCTCTAATTAAACCAAAACCCAAGGGTAGTTCCTGCAAATTTGTCATTACCAGCAATACACATAATTCAAACAATGAGCATCTCTTACCATAATTACACTAAAACTCAAGGGCAGGTCCTGCAAATTTGTCATTAACAGCAACACATTATCTCCAACATAGACTATAATAATTGGTCCACAATTAAGACTAATCAAGAGTCAACAGTCAACTTTCTTGGTCAGAGCTTTTCCAGAGTCTCCTCCACTTCACCATTTTCCTCATCACTTTCTTTCTTGCCACCTGACTCTGTTTTCACCTTCTCATCCTCCTCATTTTTCTCCTCATTTTTCTTGATCTTCTTGTGCATGAAATCAATCAGTCCTTTTAGTGCAACATCGGCATTGTCATCCTTGAGGAGCTCCTCGGCCACCTCAGCTGGCGTTGTCTTCGCATTTCGAATCAAATCCTCGATTTCGTCAAACATAACGTGTTCTTTGACCCCGAGATAATTGGAGGCCAGGAGCCGAAATCCACTCGGAGTGCAATACGAGAGGTTTATGTGCACGTCCATCCGGCCAGGTCGGAGTAGGGCCGGGTCGAGCCTCTCAACATGATTGGTCGTGAATATTATGATCCGCTCATCCCCACAGCTCGACCACAAGCCGTCGACATAGTTGAGCACACTCGATAGTGTCACCTGTCACACGATTCAAGCATCTGTTAAGAGACATTGATAAGAATTTGTATGACACGAAGGGTCTGATGCAATAAACAAAGCTAAATCAAAACGAAGATGTTGCTCATACAATCATAAAAAGTCTCTAAATATGAACTTGACATGCTTTATAACATGTCGCCGCAAAGCGCCAACATCTTATCGATTTTATTCATCTTCCACCACTGTTTTGCGTCAAGAAGTTGGATAAAGAATAAAGCAGAAGGGTCTGAAATACTAGTTGATGCTCCTCCAATACATTCAACATTATCATTAAACTTAAAGTTTTCCCAAAAAGATTTACTGTTTTTGCTTCTGATTTTCTCATAGCACTATCATTTCGAATATCATGATCGGCACAAACAATATTTGCCAATAATCAAAAAGATGCTGGGCAATTACCTTGGCCATTCCCTAACATGATATTCCTTCTTCTTTTTTACCACCTATCCTAGTATATAAAATTGATCCAACAAAGTAGTGTAAAGTTTGAAAATCATGCCCACTAAAACTCAAAGCATATACATGTGTTTTCAGAATAATCCAACCTTGCCTTCTCCTCCCCCGATTCCAGCATATTCCGGCGACTCATCAGAATCACTCCTATTGCCCAAACTGCCGGCACAGTCGATGTCCTCCACCACCAGTATCGACCCATTGGCTGTAGCCACCAGTAGCCTCCTCAGATACGAGTTCCCAGGTAGATCCGTCAGCTCAAGATCATACACGTCGAACTTCAAATAGTTGGCAATGGCAGCAATCAGGCTCGATTTCCCAGTCCCCGGGGGCCCGTACAGCAAATACCCCCTTTTCCACGCCTTGCCCACTTTCCGGTAATGCTCCCTTCTCCCTAGAAACATCTCCAGATCCCGCAAAATCATCCCCTTCTGCTCTGGGTCGATAGCCAGCGTGTCGAACGTGGCCGGGTGGTCCAGCGTGGCCGGGACCCACTCGTCGCTCACAATGTCATGATCCACCGTGTGGATCTTGACCGTCTTCTTCTCGAGCTTGTACCTCCTGGCCTCGCGCGCGACGTGCGGGAGGTACGAACCCACGACGAGGTCCCTGTTCTTGCGGTGGAACGTGAGCTCGAACGAGCGGGCCTCGGACTTGAGGGTCGCGTTACGGTCGCGCGGGTGGAAGAAGTTACTCCTGGCCACGGTTTCCCTGCAGATCCAGACCCACTTGAACGTCTGACCCGCGTAGGTGTCGACGAGCTCCTGGTCCTTCTCTGCGGAGATTCGGTAGTGCTCGTCCTTCTCGCTCCGGCCGATCTTCAGGCGGCGGGCGTTCAGGCAGAGTTTCGGACCGAGGTAGGCCTCGGCGGCCTGGTAGATGTCGTTGGGGTCGAGGCCGTCGAACTCGTCGATGACCATGGTAAACTGGTTGGAGAAGGCGGAGAGGAAGCGGCGGATGCCGGAGAAAATGTGGTCGTGGAGCTCCGGCGGGAGGAGGTCATTGGCGACGGCGCGGACGACCACGGCGGTGGCGGCGATGGAGCCCGCGGCGGAGAGGATTTTCTTGGCGGTGGCGAGTTTGGAGGGTGAGGTGGACATGTTTGTTTCTTTCTCTGGCTTGGGCACTACGAGAGAGGTTTAGGGCTTTTTTTGGGGGGTTTTGGGAAGAGAGTGTGCGAGTCCTCGTTGGGTGATTTTGTGCGAGATTTATAGGCTTTAGTTCTTTGGTTGAACAAATTGGAAAAGTTTGGGACAACTTATTTAACCCATATTTGTTCATATTGTTTGGTAAAATATCATGAATCGACTTCTAATCACATCGATTAGATTGATGAGTTTGCTCGGTGGTCGTCAAATTTAGGTTGTCGATCGACGATTCTATGGCATGTTGTAGGTTTATTATGGTTTGGCACTCTCACCTTCACACTAACTCAACTCGGGTTGGCGTTTAGCATGTCTGAGTTTGGAAGAAACATGTCGAACAACACGATCGAGATATAATATGTATTTTGGGCTCTTACGAAAAAGAAAAATACACACAAATTGACTCTTGAATCTTGATATTTGTTGATAATATAAACCCGCTTATATGGAGTACCCATTTGTGCACCCCATTTACCAACCATATATACTAGTACAACGTCCGTATATTACACGGGTGCTTGATAAATTTTTTTTCTTAAAATTTAAAATTAATAAGAAAAAGTAGTTGAAAATTTAATTACTTTTTATAAATACATACATATATATATATATTATATATATTTTAGTATATCACTTGTTACTTGTGAGACTTACATGCGTTATATTATAATATTTTTTAATTTATAACATATAACTATATTAAACATGAATATATTAATTGAGAAAAAATATTATTTTTTAATTAATTTTAATAAATATTTTGTTATTAATGTAAAGATAAATATAATTTATTTATTTTATATATTCAATATGGATGTCAAATCGTAGCTCATCAAAAGATGATTAATTTGATACACTATATAAGTAAAATCGATAAGAAATACAAAAGTTATCAACTTTTAAAATACATTTACAATTCAATAGTTATAATAGGAAATGATATTAAAATACAATTAATACATATAAAAGATAATAAATGAATCAACATATTTATAGTAATCCGAACCTAATAGTTTTGGATTATCCGAACCTAATTAGTTTTGGATTGGAATTAAATTAAAATATATCCAAGCCCAATAACAAAGCATGAAATTTTGACACCTGGGATTACGAACCATGCATGTCTGCCACTTAGGTTCAACACATTGGGGAATTATATATAAGGGATTGAGACAACTTTTTTTAATCGAACTTCAATAAAATACAAGTACGTACCCCGTGCGATGCACGGGACAAAAATATTAAATGAGTTATTTTCACAGCCTTGTCCGTTTAAGTCTAAAAAGTAATAATGTTATTATATATTTTCTACATCTTTTAATCAACGTTAAGTCTAAAAAATTATTAAGCCGCCCTCTGGCAAATATGTATAGAGTTATGTGTTCGTGTCTCATAAGTCTAAAACCTTATGAATAACATTACAAATTATTCATTCAAACTTTTATTCATTGCAAATATATTAAAATAGTTTATATAACAGCCATTAAATACACTTTCAATATATATATAAATAAAAAGTACATAAAATTTATGGTGTGTTCAAATTTAAATATTTTTTTATGGGCTCAATTTTAAATTATCCAGATATTTGGTCAAACGCATAGGTGTGTTCAAATTTAAATCATTGGCATTTTTGTCGGTTGAAATTTAAATCATCTACCATGGTATTGTGATGTGTATTATATATATACAATTTTTTAACAAATAATATGTGCTTTATAAAAATAATCATAATAATTTCACAAGATTTTAAACGTAAAATTTGGTTTTTAATCACAATAGAAAAATCATGGTAAGTTGTAGGTGTTATGAGATAAAATAATTAACTAAAATAATTAAATAAAATACTTAATAGAAATAGAATGCTTTAATTACTTTTGACTTTTTTTACTACTAATTCTAGTAAATAGAATGTCTTTTTATATAAGTATAGATTTCACTTTCGTTTAATAAAGTTTTATAAATTCTGCAAAATTATAAGCACATTATTTATTTTTATTTTTATTTTTTTTAAAAAAAAAAGAGTTAGAACCACTCAACTTAAGTATAAAAATCTTATTATCAAATATATCAACTACCAAATATAAGGGCGTATGGATATAAATGTTTTTATTTCATATTAAATTTAACTTAATTCTAAGTCAATCTAACTATGCTCAATATTATTAATATAATTAAATAAAATCAGTCAACATCACACCAATTTTAATTAACCATTCATCTACTCACATAATATTAACTATCATCATTTCACAATATTTACCTTTAAAGTAAATCAACTTTAATTATTTTTTAAAATATTATTTAAATATAAATTCAAAACCCACTAACAACTAACTATATTATCTTTGTTCAAAGTAAGCCTCTGTTAACCAAAAAAAATTATTTGAGCGAAATTTTTATTTATCCATGATATGCCCTAAAAATACCTAGTACGAGTGGACGAAGCAATTAAAGAAAACAAAAAATAAAATAGTAAAAAAGGCAATTCATCTTGCACACTATTACACATTTGTTGTGCAATTGCATGAATGAACGAATTTTCCCCTAAATGCATCTCGGCTCATGCCTCCTGAGTTCGACTCAACTTGACTCGTTAATGTTCGAGTTCGGTTCACCTCATTGGATAAACAAGTTGAGCTTGAGCTCATTTAAAGCTCGTTCAGTTAACGAGCCGAGTTCAACTTAATAAGACTCAAGTACATGATTTTTATGTATTTTTCTATAGATCAACTCGATTTTAGTTTGTTAAGTTAACGAGCCGAGGGCTCGAGCTCGAGCTCAAGCAGCTAGTTGTATAATAGCATTATATTTTAAAATTTGAACATTAGTAAACATAAACAATACAAAACTAGTTAATTGCATATGAATATGAATAAAATGTATTAAATGATGTAATTTTTATAATTTTGAGAAATCGTGACTAATTAACTAGCTGGAATTTTATTTAATTTTAGTACATTCGCGTTCTCCTTTGTTTTTCAAGCTTGTTAGTCTTATATTTATTATAATTTAACTATAAATAGACATAAATTCTATTAATTTATACACTAATTGATTAAAATTAGTTGGAATTTTAACTCGAAATAATTGTTACAACAATTTTGAATATCCTGATATGAAAAATATATTAATATAAAATTAATTTATACTGCTATGACGTTTTAGGAAAAATCATAGTCTAAATCAATAAAAGAACATATATGTTTTTTTTTTTTTAACGTAACATGTTAATCTTCTTTCTATTTCTTAATAAATGTAAAGTATTTTTTTTTTTTGTTGGCTCAATATACTAACTTAAGTAAATTGAGTTTAAGGCGCCAATTATAAATTATATAAAATTAATTACATAATTACTCTTAAATAGAGTTTATTTAAAAAAAAGTCAATTAAATAAATACATTTTCCATCAATCACATATTTGTATAAATTTGGGGTCCTACTCATGACACAGTCTCTCACTTAATCCTTTGGTCAATTCCATTATAAAATTTTTAACATGTAATAATTACCAACAAATTAATTTCAAATTGTCAATAATTCAACTTCAACTTTCTTGGTCAGCACTTTTCAAATTTCCCTCCTTTTCACCATTTTCTTCACCACTTTCTTTCTTCTCCCTGACTCTGTTTTCACCACCTTCTCATCCTCTTCATTTTTCTTAATTTTCCTGTGCATGAAATCAATCAGCCCTTTTAGGACAAAATCGGCATCATCGTCCTTGAGCAGCTCCTCAGCCACCTCAGCCGGAGTCATGTTCGCTTTCCGAATCAAATCCTCGATTTCCCCAAACATAGTGTGTTCTTTGATCCCAAGATAGTTGGAGGCGAGGAGCCGAAATCCACTCGGAGTGCAATACAAGAGGTTTATATGCATGTCCATTCGGCCGGGCCGGAGCAGGGCTGGGTCGAGCTTCTCCACGTGATTGGTCGTGAATATTATGACCCGTTCTTCTCCGCAGCTCGACCACAAGCCGTCGATGAAGTTGAGCAAACCCGATAGTGTCACCTGTAATTGCACGAATTTAGCATTTGTTGAGAAAATTTTGATGATAGTTTTGTGTTTATAGTTACAGTGGAACAAAGGATGATAGATGAAGTACTTCCAAGAGTTGACTTACAATACCACTATTAAAAACTAGTACAACGCCCGTGTATTACACGAGTGATTGCTAATTTTTTTCTTAAAATCTAAAATTAATGAGAAAAAGTATTTGAAAATTTAAATACATTTCATAAAAGTATATATATTATTATATATTTAGTATGACACTTTTTATTTGTGCGACTTACCTGTGTTATATTATAATAATTTTTTTCACTTACAACATATAACTACATTAAACATAAATATATCAACTGAGATTTTATTTTCCTAATGAATTTTAATAAATATTATTATTTTGTTATTATTATAAAGATAAATATAATTTATTTATTTCATATATCCAATATGGATGTCAAATCGAAGATCATCAAAAGATGATTAATTTGATATATTATATAGGTAAACCGATAAGAATACAAAAGTTATCAACTTTTATAATACATTTAGAATTCTATAGCTAATTGAAGGAAACAAATAAAAAGTCAGGGATATATTATCACTTACTGACTCACTATGTAAAATTACAAAGAATTAAAGGATTATATTAGTACAAGTGATATTAAAATACCTAAGTTAACTAAATAATATTTATGGAATGTCCGAACCTAGATTATTAATTATTAGTATATCAATATTATTTGTCTAAATCTAATTACGAAGCATGATTCTTCTTCAAGTAGGATTTCGAAGCACCAGAAACAGCCACATAGGCTCAACGCATTAAGGAATTATATATAGGAGGATTAGTTGGCTCCAACCTTAACGAGCTGAGCTCACGAGTAGCTCGTTTTGTTTAGCAACTTAATTCAAATATAATACTAAACAATGCTTTAAATATCATAATGACAATTATACCACATACGCCATGGTACAACTGGTTCAACTAGTTTTACCGGTTATTTTATGAGTTTGAATAAATATTAATTAAATTTATTTCTTTAATAAATTTACTATATACAACCAACCGTAGTTTTGAGATCCAGACCGGACCGGCGGGTCGATCTGGAGCCGAACCCGGTCAGGGTAGGCTAATTGGACCGGGCAACAATACACTCGGTTAAACCCGACTGACCCGGCTCATTGACCAAGCTGGGTCAACCCGGTTGATCCGACCCAAATTTTTATTTTTTTATTTTTTAATACTATTTTTTTATTTTATAAGATAAAACTATGTACATATATTTATATGGTAAATATTTATTATTAAATATATATTATTAACACTTAAGTGTACAAATTTTATATACAAAACATTTAATTTTGTTCCTTTTATATATATTTATAAGACAAAATACTTTATATATAATTTTAAAAATTTTGTTCAACAATTGACCCGGTGACTCGGCGGTTGAACCGGTAACTCGGTGACCTACCCGGGTCTGGGTTTAAAAACTATGCAGCCAACCTTCAATTTATGTTAAATAAAAAAATAAAAAACATGATAAAAATATAAATAAATTCATCTAACCTTGCTTTCGTCTTTCGAGTTGTGTTTATGCTCCTTAGACGCGTCCCTTTTAGCCAATTTCTTCTGCAAATCGATTGTGCAGTCGATGTCCTCCACCACCAGCACCGACCGATTGGCCGTCCCCACCATCAGCTTCCTCAGATCTGAGTTCTTGTGCACCTCCGTCAGCTCCAAGTCGTACACATCGAACTTGAGATAGTTGGCTATGGCAGCAATCAGGCTCGATTTCCCAGTCCCCGGCGGCCCGTACAGCAAATACCCCCTTTTCCACGCCTTGCCCACGTTCCGGTAAAACTCCCTCCGCCCTAGAAACCTCTCCAGATCCTGCAAAATCATCCCCTTCTGCTCCGGATCGATGGCCAGCGTGTCGAATGTTGCCGGATGGTCGAAAGTCGCCGGCGTCCACACGTCGTTGACGTCAGCGTAACTCAGCGTCTCTCCGTCGATTGTGTGGATCTTGAGCGTCCGTTTCTCGTACTTTTCCCTCTTGGCCTCGGCGGCGATGTGGGGCAAATATGAGTTCACGACCAAATCCTTGTGCCGCCTGTGGAAAGTGAGTTCGAACGAGCGGACCTCCAATTTGAGGGTGGAATTCATGCCGCGTGGGTTGTAGAGTGACTCGGTCTTCCTGCAAATCCACGCCCACTTGAATTTCACGCCGGCGTACGTGTCGACGATTTCCCCGTCCTTCTCCATGGTGATTTTGTAGTGGTTCTCCTTTTCGGGGCGGCTGATCTTGAGGCGGCGGGTGTTGGGGCTGATTTTCGGGCCGAGGTAGGACTGGGCGGACTGGTAGATGTCGTTTGGGTCCAGGCGGTCGAACTCGTCGATCACCATGGTGAGCTGGTTGGAGAAGGAGGAGAGGAGGCGGCGGATGCCGGAAAATATGTGCACTTGGAACTCCGGCGGGAGGAGGTCGCGGGCGACGCTTCGGATCAGGACGGCGGTGGCCGCGGCGGAGCCGGCGGCTGAGAGGATGGTTTTCGCGGTGTCGAGTTTGAATTCTGACGAGGTGTTGGACACTTTGGGAATTTTTTTATTTAAATGGATGTTTTGTTTTATGGTACTGGGATTCATAAAAGGATGTGTGTGAGATAATAACGACGAGGTGTTGAACACTTTGGGAATTTTTTTATTTAAATGGGTGTTTTGTTTTATGTTATTGGTATTGAGAAAAGGATGTGTGTGAGATAATAACATCTCGAATGATAGTTAACTGTAAAAATATGGTGAAAGTTGAATACAAAAGGTTAACAGTGAATGTCTAGATTCTATTAATAAGGATGTGGTAAGAGAGAGAACGAATAAAATTCAGACTTCTTGTACGTGTAGAAGTCCTGTTAGACATGATGATTTTCTTTGTTTTCAATTAGGACAACAAATTTGTTAAAAAAAAAAGATAACTGCTACGTTAATAATGAACATTGGTTTATGAGTTTAAACATCTATTACTATAAAATAGAGTTAAGAAAAAATACAATTTCGGTAAATTTTTTCTTGCTCAATTATTTCAAAAATTACCTTTTGTGGAAACTTTTTTTTGAATTTATTTCACAAATCCCGCGTAAAGTTTTTGATTTGATTTTGAATAGGAAAAAACAAAATTCAGATTATTATTAAACACCTTTTTTTTAGGAATAGATTTGGTTCATTTCCCCCTATTTTAACTCCTTCCTTTTATGAAGAAATTTGGTGAATTTTTTTTTTGGGAAATTCATTTTTTACTATTTGACAAATTAATATTGGATATGTTTTGAAAAGATTTCTTTATTAAATAAACAATTCCATATGTTTTAACTTCCTTTTTTTTTAGGTTACGATTTGGTATATATTTATTGGTTAAATCAATTTTTTAGAATAAGCCTAACTAAATATATTTCTTTTTTTTTAGGATGTGATTAAGGAAACAAATCCATAAAAATATGGATTCTTTTAAAATATGATATATTATCTTCTACATAACCGATTTCTTTTGGATACATTTGAAAATAATTTTCATTGTTTTAAAAAGATAATGTAGGATATGTTTTGAAAAAAATTCCTTTAGTAAGGAAACAATTCCATAACATATTAGATTTTGATATTTTGTATGCAAATAATTATTTCAAAATTTTGTTTATTTAAAACAATTCAAATTAATATTGGATATTGTAGATCACATATATTATTTGCTTACTATATATTTAAAATCTAAAATAGGTTGGATTGGGTTTAAGGTGATAAGCACGACCTTTTTTGTTGTGGGAAATCAAACAAGAAGTATACTATTTTAGGTATAAAATCTGATTTCATTTGATAAGCTCAATCAAATTTGATTATGACCGAATCAAATAATTTTGAACAATATTAAATTAATCGATTACTATTGATTTTTTTTATTATTTTCACGTCGAAAATTTTCTAAAATACTATTTTTTTGTGGAAAATATCGGCTGGATGAAAAGGTCAATTCAAATATGGTCAATGATATCTTTAAATACAACGGATAAATATGGTCAATAATATTGTTGATGCTCAAAAATGTCAGCAACATAGTTCGAACTGCGTACTCAAAGAAACACTTGGTTCGGTCTGCACGACACAGGAAATCAAGTGATATCCGGTTCTAGAATGAACCGAATGGAAGCTCTGTTCGTGACTTATATAGTATTTAATGAGAGCATATATGAATTGAACTCAACAATGTTGAACAAAGAATGAAGATGAAGTCTCTTGTTTATTCATATTTTGGGAAGAAAAGAATGTCCCTTTCTCTCTTCGAGATTGTCCATTTTAATGGGATTTCATTTGGATAAGGTTAGATCCTCTTGGATCCTTTTGGATCCTCAAGTACATATACACATCACATCACAATATATGGACATCAATAAATATGGAATAGAATAATATAAATGATATTTTAATGTGTTGTATTTTAATTAATCGTAGCCAAATTAGGTACCAACAAATATCACAAATTATTTTTTATATTTGGGTAGTTCAACTTAATTGATGTTTTCTTTTTCCAAAAAGTATGATGATCATATAATTAATTTTATCATATATCTAATGTATGATGTTATTAGTTTAGTTGGGGATACCCATTATATTCAAATAAATAATATATAATTTTTCATATTTGGCATTTCTTTTCTAATAATGAGATATTAAACATAAATAACTATTTTTAATATAAAGTCTTAGAAAATGTTTTACGTAAAAAGCTCGTCCGTGCATCGCACGGGATACACACTAGTTTGTTGAATAATAAATTATTGGAGATATTTTATGAGTTTTAAACATCTATTTCTTCCACTTAGATGGAAATATCATTGTTCCAATATTTTATGAGTTTTAAACATCTATTTCTTCCACTTAGATGGAAAACATCTATTAAATATCATTAGTAATTTTTTTTCTCCGTTCCTCTTTTTTACTTTTACCAAATGAATAATAAAAAGATTAGAGGATGGAGTTTGATTGTGTTTTTTACCAATTGTGTAAGACAGTTTGAGTTACAAGCAAATGATAAATAAGTAACTTTATCTTTGGCTATATTTGGTAAAATTAGCTGATAAGCTAGCCTATAGTTTATTAATAATTTTATAACTTATAGCTTATGACTTATAGTTAATAAGCTAGCTTATATAATAAAAGTGTGATAAAATTAGCTGATAAGCTAGTTGGAATAAAAAATTCAACTAATTTATTTGAAAAGCTACCTGAGGAAGCTTATCAAATAAGCTCGAGCTTGAAAAAAAAAATCTCGTCATACCAAACGAAGCTTATTTGAATACAGGAGCTTATAAGCTAACCAAATAACCTATAAGCTAACTTATTTGTCTACCAAACATAATATTTGTCCTCTATTAGATTTTTTTTTTTTTTTGTCTTTTTATAGTTTTGAGCAAATATGTATGCTATTTAAGAACAATGAAACAATATAAATATAAGCTAGTTTATTGGTGTTTCAAACATAACCATAATTTAATTTATCAGCAAGTTTTATCAAACATAGCAAAAGAGGAAAGATACGGGGAGAATAAAAGGTATTACAATTTTAAGTGAAGTGATCACTTTACACCTATTAGAACAATCAAAAATTCTATGGAGCCATCGGATGGTTTTCTTATGGAGCCATCCATGACTTAGTGTATTGACACTTGTCCAAAGTGCATTTATTGTAGGACACGTGTCAATACACTATTTGTGAATAACTGTGGATGGCTCCATAAGCCGAGCCATCCGATGGCTCCATAGCAAAACTGTTAGAACAATTCCTCTAGAAATCCCTCAAAAGGGGAGATAAATTAAAGGAAGAGGAGATAAAAAAAATCATTTGTTAGTAATGTTTTCCTTTTATATTATTCAACTTTAATGTTTTCCTCCCATTTGTTAGCTCATTTGTTAGCAATGTTTTCCTTTTATATTATTCAACTTCATTTAGTAATGTTTTCCTCCCATTTGTTAGATAGTTATGGTAGAAAATCGTTACAATTATTTTATTTATATGTAATCATATATTTTTTAATATTATATTATATAATAGTTAATAATAATACCAACTAATAATATTTTACACCAAATGTTATATAGAAATTACATAAGTACAAAAATTACATTGCAAATGTTTTTGTTCAAGTTCTTTATTCTAAATCAATATATCTTTTTATCAATTATTATTTTGTATCTCAAGATGTGATTTTCTTATAAAAAAATAGCCAATAGTTTAATATCACTGTCAAACCACCTTAAAATCTTATAAATAATTTAAAATGATGCACACTGTGACTATGAGTGGAGCCCAAGCAACATAAGTTGGAAAGGAATAGAAAAAAAAAGATTCTTAACATGAAATCTATTAATATATAAAGAGACAACATAAATATTCTTTAAATAGTAACTAAAAAATCAATTGAAATTCCTCCAAAACATATACTAAACATAGAAACTTTTTTTTGAAAATTTTTAGAATAAGCCGCCTCTTATTAGATTGTCTGAACTTTTCGAAAATTCAAAAGTTTTGTCAATATCCCATATCTTCATTTGTCATTTCAAATTAACATAACATGTTAATCTTTATTATAGCGGATTTCATGTTTAATAATATAGAAGTTTTTATTTGAGTTTTGAAATCTATATATCTATATAATTGTAGGCTATCCAATAAATGAGATAGCCTATATTTTCCCGCCTAAACCACATTTTGGCTAAATTAGGTATGTTTGTTTCATTTAATCCCACATTTATGTTATCTAATATCATATATATAGCCATAGCAGTTACTTTCGTTAATAGCAATTAAATTAAAATTATAAACAATATTAATAAATGTATCAAATGAAAAATTAAAAGTACAAATAATATTACATTTCAATACATTACAAACCTAAACCCAGTGGTGTAATCAAACAGAACGGGCCTTCGTGAGTTCGACTCAACTGCGTGAATGGACGAATTTTCCTCTAAATGCATCTTGGCCTTCGTGAGTTCGACTCAACTCGACTCGTTAATTCTCGAGTTCGATTCATCGGCTCGTTAACTAAACAAAGGGTCTGATGCAATAAACAAAGCTAAATCAAAACGAAGATGTTGCTAACGACAATCATAAAAGGTCTCTAAATATGAACTTGACATGCTCTGTAACATGTCGTCGCAAAACGCCAACATCTTATCGATTTTATTCATCTTCCACCACTGTTTTGCGTCAAGAAGTTGGATAAAGAATAAAGCAGAAGGGTTTGAAATACTAGTTGATGCTCCTCCAATACATTCAACATTATCATTACAGTGCCACCATTTTATAGCCACTTTGTGAAGTAAAAAATGAAAAGTAGCCATCTTTGTAGAAAAATGAAAACTAACCATTTTAGGGTATAAAAAGACAACGTACTCTTACTAAATATTTTAACAAAACAAAAAAAAAAAGATTCCCATTCCTCCATTGGTCCCCATTCTTTCATCTCCCATTCCCCCACCATCTCTACGCGCGCAATTCCCAACAAAAAAAATTTATCTTCCCAAAAAACTGTTTGTTTCTCAAGAAACATGTTTCTCGTTCAAGAAACAAGTCTCTTGAGCGAAACGGGTTTTCTTAC